TGTGCAGGATTTCTCAATAAAATACTTGGAAACAGAATCCAGGAACATATCCAAACGATTTTCCACCATGATCAAGTTGGCTTCATCCCAGAGATTCAGGGATGGTTTAGCATACATAAATCGATAAATGTAATCCACCACATACATAAACTGAAAGACAAAAATACCTCATCTAATTAAATGCAGAAAAGGCCTTTGACAAAAATCCAACACTCCTTTATAAAAGAAGTTCTGGAGACATTAGGGTTACAAGGGAGATACCCCAACATAACAAAGGCAATGCATAGTAAGTCCACAGGCAACATCAACCAAAATAGAAAGAGAAATGGGAAACATTTCCTCTAAAATCATGAACAAGATAAGGGTGCCCACTCTCTCCATACTTGTTCAGTATAGTATTTGAAGTCTTAGCTAGAGCAATAAGACATCTGTAAAAGGCCAAGAGTACAAATAGGAAAGGAAGGAGAAAATATTCTTACTTGCAGATGATATGGTTTTATATTTAAGACCCTAAAGACTCCAGCAGGAAACTTCGATAGTTGATAAATACTTTTAGGAAACTATCAGTTCATGAAATCAACACAGGAAATCAGTAGCCTTCTTACATACAAATGACAAACATACTGAGAAACAAACCATGGAAACAATACCTATTACAAACAAAACAAAACAAAACAAAAAATAGCTTCAAAAATATTTTGGAATAACTCTAATTAAAGGTGTGATAGACTTGTTCAATAAAAACTTTAAGGTATTAAAGAAAGAAATTGAAGAAGACCCCAGGATATGGAAAGATCTCCTATGCTCATGGATCAGTAGGATTAATATCTTGAAAATGCCTATCCTATCAAAAGCAAACTAAAGATTCAGTGCAATCCCCATCAAAATTACAACTAAATTCTTCACAGTTGAAAACAACCTTCAGCTTCATATGGAAACTCAAAAGACAAACAAAAAAACAAAACCCAGGATAGTTAAAGCAATCCTGAATAATAAAAGACCTGCTGGAAGTTTTACCATCCCATATTTCACATTACACTACAGAGCTATAGTAAAAAATTCAGTATGGTGTTGCATAAAAACAGACATATTGATCAATGGAACAGAACAGAAGACCTGAGCACAACTGCATAGCTGTAAACACTTGAAGTCAAAATTATACACTGGAGAAAAGATTCCATCTTCAACAAATGGTGCTGGTCAAAGTGGATGTCTGTATGTAGAAGAATACAAATTGATCCTCATTTATCACTTTGAATAAAATCTCAACTCCATATAGATCAAGGTTTTTAGGATAAGGCCAAATTCCCTGAAACTTAAAGAAAAGAGAATATGTAATTCATTTGATCTACATTGTCACAAGAAAGGCCTCTCTGACCAGGCCCCCAAAGCATAGACACAAAGACTAACATTAGTAAATGGGACCTCGTGAAGGTAAAAAGCTTTTGCATAGCAAAGGACACCATCATTCAAGCAAAGCAGAATGGGACAAAAACTGTATACATCTGACAGAAGGCTTGTTTTTGAATATACAAAGAACTAAAAAATACCAAAAACCAAAACCAAAACCTAAAACCAAAACCTGAACATTTACACAATGGAATACTACTCAGCAGAAAAAACAATGGAATCTTGAAATTTGCAGGAAAACAGATGGAACTGGAAGAAACCATTCTGGGCGAGGTGACCCAATCACAAAAAGACAAACATGATATGTACTCACTCATATGTGGATTTTAGACATAGAGTAAGAGATTACCATCCTACAACCCACACTGCCAGAGAAACTAGTAAACAAGGAGGATCCTAAAAGAGACAAACTTTGTCCCCTGGAGAAGGGAAAAGGGTCACCATCCCCTGAGCAAATTGAGAACACAGGAAGAGGGGGGAGGGAGCTATGAGAATGAGAAGGGAAGAAAAGGAAGAATGCAGAGGTCATGAGGGAGCAGAAAGGTTGAGTCAGGTGTAGATTAGAAGAAAGGATATGTGATAGGTAGGGTTTTAGTTGGAGGGGTGGTAGGGGAGGAAGGGAGGGAGAAGGGAACTGGGATTGTCATGTAAATCAATCTTGTTTGTAATTCAAACAAAAAAAAAAGTCAAAAAAAGAAATCCCCCCAAATCAACAAAAATATTATGTTGGAAAAAAAGTATTCCATCTTCCCAGATGAGCCTAACTCTTGTCAAACTGACAACTAACCAGCACACTGCTTTTGCAGAGGTCTGAAGGCTGATTCCCATCACCCATATCTTTGACTCACAGGCACCTATAGCTTGAGTTTCGGGGATCCCACACCTGTGGCCTCTGTGGGTACCTGCACACATATACTTCCTGATATACAAATAATTAAAAGTAATAAAATTAAATATTTTAAAAATCATCTATAAAAAAGCTGAACATCAAGAAAGCAATTCAACTTTTAAAAAATGGGTTACAGTACTAAATAGAGTTCTCATTTCTCAAAATATGAAACACAAATGGCTAACACTTGAAAGTTTTCAACATCCATAGCCACCAGAGAAATGAAAATTAAAACTCTTTTGAGATTTCATCTTACACTAATCAGAATGGCCAAGACTAATAAAACAGATGTTGGCGCATACTGTCAAGGATGTGGGGAAAGGGGAACACTTATTCACTGCTAGGAGTGAAAACTGGTACAACCCATAGAAATCTGCATGGAAGTTCCTCAAAAAGCTGAAAATATATCTACCAGAAAATTCAGCTATACCACCCTTGGGCATATACCCAAAGAACTCTACATCACTACAGAGATACTTGCTTATTCATGTTCATTGCTGCTCTATTCATAAAAGCCAGAAATTGCAAACAGCCTAGATGTCCATCAACTGATGAATGGATACTGAAAATGTGCTCACATTTACACAATGGACTATTATTAAAGTGTTAAGAAAAAAGAAATTATGAAATTTGCTAGTGAATGGATAGAGCTAGAAACACTCATCCTGAGTGAGACAAATATTACATGTTTTTCTTGCATATAAATGTTAGCTTTTAAGCTTTCAATATGTGTGACACAATTTGAATAACACAGAGGCTAGGTACCTTGGAAGGGACCAGGGAGGAAGAGATCTCCCAGGGAAGGGAACATAGAATATAGTGTTATTGAGACATAAAGGGGAAACTAGACTAGTAGGACTAAATGGAGTAGGAGTGACAGAGCAGGGTAAAGGAGAGAATATGGGGAGGGACAATTAACACTAAAAAACCACATGAAAGCCTAGCACTTTGGAAAATCCCTAAATATATACATATATGAAAGGAAGTTAAATGGAGTCACCATATAATGGGATAAGCAATGCCCAAACTAGACATCATATGTTATGAAATAAATCCTCCAATATCAGGAATGAGTAACATCTTGTTGAGCTGTTCGCCTAGGGAGTCCCACAGACCCTGCTCAACACCACAGGCTACTGTCAATGCTGTTGGTTACCTTCAACAACATGACATTAAGGCCCTGTTGCTGAAGATACCACTTACACATGTCATTGAGCTTATGCCCAACTAGAAGCATCACCCTACTGACTAGTGATTATGGTACAGGAATTTACTCTTCATACTGTGGAAGAAGGGAAGTATTCATCATTGTCACACAACTAGGAACTCTATGACCTGCAACAGCATCTGCCTGCAAGATATACTGGTACAATAGTTGCACAAATGTGTTGGGGTGACCAGTCAGTTTTTGGATTGGAGTCAAGGTCCACTCCATAAGATGAAACCCATTTCTGTCACTTCTAAAGTGACCAAAACCCCGAGACTAGATACATTGTTCCCCTAGGGAAAAAACTACTACTATTATTCTGCTAAAGGAACACAACAATAAAATGAGTCTTAATGACATAGTGCTGTACCTATTTATCAGTGTGCCACTCAGCCCTCTTACAGTAGATGGTAATTGACAGAGACCCACAACTGGGCAAAGGGCAGAAAGTGAGAGACTTTGGAGCACTCAGCTCTGAATGGGATCTCTTGTCAAATCCCCCCTGAAGCATCAGGGGTCTATGTGGAAGTAGAGGTAGAAAGATTGTAAGAGCCAAAGGTGGTGGATGACT